AATAGGTTTGTGATAAAACATGACTTAAAATAAACAAAAAGGTAAAATAACAAAAATTTGGAACTCCAAAGAAAATTCAAAATAGAAAGTCCTTTATCAAATGGCAAAAAAAAAGCTCAAAAACATCAAACAAATGGAAAACAACTTTCCTATTCCTTACTTGGTACAGGAATAATGACTTTTAACATGTTTAAATATCTATAGAGACTTTGCTTGAATAGTTGTCCAATTTCAAAATATTTAATTGTGGTTATTTTTCCTCAATAAAATAAAAAATCTTTACGTTTAAAATTTTGTTTTGAATTGATGTACTTATTGCATTGTACTTGAAATTATATGGGTTTTTTTGGTATTTAAAATTTGCATTTGTTAACAATCCGGTTTTTGGTGTTTTCTTTGCTTTGTTTTGTGGAAGGGTGTATGTCTTTTCGTTGTTACTAGGTTTTTTTTACACGGCATTTTCAGTTTGTTTACGATTAATGAGTTTGAATATCCCTTAAGTATCTTTCGAGTCTCTCTTATCAGATTTTAATGTTTGTAGAGTGTAGGCGAATGGAAAATGTTTTGTCTGTTTCAATATTTATTATGTACTCAGTTAACGATACGTATTTTGGCCAGTATTTCCTCGAAGGCCAAGTAAAATAAGACTTGCACTTTACAAAAATACAGAAAAAGCAATTTGTTATGTTCTGCCGAAACATTGTAATTTAGAACTGATAACAACTGAGTGAGAATAATGGTTAAAGAAATCTAAGTGGGTAAATTGTACGACGTTACATGTGATGTACTGTTGTCTTTTGAAACTCGAACATCTATTCAATCATTCTCGAGATAACGTTTAGATGTTCTATTACTCTAAAGTGTCAAATCGTATCGGATTTCATCTGAATTTATATATTATATCATCTAGCTTTGATCTGTTATGTTAGAGTGATTAATCTTTTTTGCCATTTGTAAACCTTTATGTAAATGTATTTTATATAAATGTCCAGTTTTATGACATAATATATAAACGCATAACCGTTTATCACATTTCATATCCTTTTCAAATAATACATATATTGTTTGTGTAATTTTCTTCTGCGTTACTAATAATGAAAAAAGCAAAACTGTATATTTGGAAATATACAATGTCATGGAATCTTGGTTATACGGCATCTACCCTTTTTATTCCCATTTTTTTATCCAGCTTTCTGAGGCAGTTGCTATTCGAATGACATGTGGTGCACCGGTTTTTGGTGGGGATTGTGTTGCTCAGTCTTTGGTTTCCTTTGTTTTGTTTTGTATACTGTTGTTTGTCTTTTGATCTTTTTATTTTTTTTTTTGCCATGGCGTTGTCAGTTTATTTTTGACTTGTGAGTTTAAATGTCAATTTGGTTTTGGTTTTTGCCTCTCTTTTAGTAATTGAGGAGTATGTCTGTTCGTCATACAGTCCCACTTTTGTATCAACTACTGCTCCTACACTGCACGATATAGTTGTTTAATAATTTCACAGAATATTACTCATCTAGTGAACTTTTACACCGCCTATTTCATTTCTTCATCGGTATGATTTGTGAGTTTACATTGGCATGATACACTACAGTACACATTTTCCTCTTAAGCTCCTTCTCGTTTCTGTTTTTTTACGATTTGATGTCGTTGTGTACCTCTTATTTTGTTTTTGATCCGAAATCATTTTTGGGAATTAAATGAAACCCTTATACTTCACTCGAGTTTAACCCTTTTTTGATTCGACCAATTTCAGCAAACATTTTCATATGTGTTCTGTTATTGTGGTATTGTGTGGTATGTTGTCTTTTAATTGAAGGTTGATTAACAAACAAAATATTATATTTGCGTACCCTCTTTACTGCAAATTCAAGTTATCAGAAGACTGGTTTTGTGATCACAATAGCCATACTACAAATGGAGAAATTCTGTTGTTAATATTGATGGATTTGTCTATACTTTAAGGTCCAGTTTGATCATAGAGCTCCCCAAGTATTTAATTATATATAGAGCATATTGGGGTTTATTTTTGGCCGTTTTGAGCGTTCCTGATAAAGGTAGATCTATAAAGATCCTTCGGAAGCACCAGATCAATAAATTTTTATTTTCACTTATTAAAATAAAATGCATTTGTATGCATACACTACAAACCAGTAAAAGTCTGAAATGGCCTATATCTGTACTCGACTGTACTGATTTTTACTCGACCAGTCTGAATTGGTCTGAAATTTACTTGATAATACTCGACTGTAGTCTGAACCATACTTTACAGTCTGAACTTGTACTCGACGTTTACTAGACCAGTACTAAACCATTTTATATGAGTCTGAACCATACTCGACATAATCTTAATCTTTCTTGAACAAGTCTGAACCATACTCGACTTAGTCTGAACCATACTCGACCAAGTCTTAAACAACCTAGACCTGTTTTTTGTATCTATCTATTGTATTTCATCAATTCAGGAACTGTTATACATATATATATATATATGTATGTATGTATGTATAACAGTTCCTGAATTGATGAAATATACAATGTATATCACATTTAAAAAAAAAATAAAACAAGATGATCAAAGAAAGTTCCTGGTTGGATTAAAAAAATATCATGTAATAAATTAAGTTTTCATCAAATGAATTTTTATATACATGATATCATGTTCACATTGCTTTATGTACATCAAAAATACCAGAACTTTCAACCATAATATCAAATATCTTAAATGTTATTCAAAATTGTTTTTTATCAAAATATATATAAAATAGTATATAAAGCAACTTAATAAATGTTCACATTGACACCTTTGTTTTGTAAAACCAAGAGTTTGATATAATAATAATAATAATATAACTTTCATAGCAATCCTTGATAACCTTTTAAAAAAGGAAATGTATTCCAAAGTTGCAGTAGAAATTTATTTTAATTAGATTTAAATATGTTTTGTCAAAATTAAAGACTTGGCATACAAGAAGCACTTTAATAAGGTTTAATTACCTTAGTACAAAAAAAGAAAACCCTATATTTCTTAAACTCGTGTATTACTTATCTAGTGAATTCAAAAGGCCTTGTGATTTAAGTTTTAAAGAATGTTGTAATTTTCAATGGGTGTAATCAAAAATTTATTACTCTCTGACCAGGTATGATATTTTTAATCAGTGTACCCCAAGCAGGATATATTACTTTATAGTTTACCCCTAATCAGAAGAAAATTTTTATTCATTTCTTTAATTTTTTATCCCTTTTTAAAATATATATATATCCCAAATTATGTTAAGAATAGATATAGTTTTGATATATTATAATTAAGGTTTAACAATGTCAGTGATTTTGTTGGCTGTTGTTACCTCATTAAAAAGATAGTTATATATAACTGTTGTATGTAAACATGAAACCTATGTAGTTTTTATTTAGAAATTTAGGAAAATCAAGTTTTTGTTTAAAAAAAAACATATGCCAAACAAAAAGCACATTTATAAGGTTTTATTACCCTCAGTCATGTCAGTATAGGTGTGGTTTTCAGGTAAGCAAAGTTTTTCTATTTATTAAATACATACATGATCACAGTGGTGTAACCATACATACATGATCACAGTGGTGTTCCCATACATGTATAATCACAGTGGTGTAACCATACATGCACGATCATAGTGGTGTTCCCATACATGCATAGTCACAGTGGTGTAATCATACATACATGTATGATCACAATAGTGTTTCAATACACAGTAGAGTGTGTGTTGTCAAAGGAAAGCCTTTTTTTTCAGAATAAAAGTAATGACAACACTGGAGTAACATCGCATGATCTTAACATTTCCATTTTCTAGAATTCTTAATAAACTCTTAATCTAAATAATACTGTTTTAACAAGACTCAGACTTTACAATTAGATAATTTAACTATCTCAATTTGATAAATCTGAGAATCATGTAAGGATGTAAAAATCTGTTTTTATATATATATATATTTATTTTATAGTGGCTTGTCAGTCAAAAAAAAAGTTATTTTAACAATTAAAATTATAAAAAGTAGAGGTTATTTGGTCGAGTATGGTTCAGATTTATCGAGTATTGTTCAGACCTTTGGTCGAGTATGGTTCAGACTGAAAAAATAGGTCGAGAGCTGGTCAAGTATTGGTCGAGTACAAGTCGAGAATGGGTTAAGACTGTTTTAGACTGGTCGAGTAATAGTTCAGACTATTTTCAATAGCAAAGATAAGGGTTAAGTACAAATCAGTACAGTCGAGTATGGTAAAGACTGAGTCGAGTAATACTAAGTAAAATTCAGACCAATTCAGACTGGTCGAGTAAAAATCAGTACAGTCAAGTACAGATATAGGCCATTTCAGACTTTTACTGGTTTATAGTGATATATGAAATAAAATTGGACAAAAATTTCAATAATATTCAATTCTCTTATGCTTTGATTAGAAATAAATTCTCCATATTTAATTTTTTTTTTTTTTTTTTTGTAAAATAGCAAGAAGACCAGTACATGGGTCCCATCTTGTGGTTCAAGTTTGAATTTATATCTATGTTTTTGTATTCGTTTAAGAAAATATCATTTAGCTTTCTTTCTAGTCACATAATTGAGCATTTTTTTGTATCACCCTAACAAAAATGTAAATTCTGTTGCACAACCTTTACCTTGAACACAAACTTGGTGATATTAACACTTTTGAATTTTGGGAAAAGTATACATTTACATTACATGTTTGTCATTTTTTTTCATATTTCAAATGAATCAATAAAACTGTTTTCGTTTCTTTAAAACGGAAAGAATATTCGCGCATTTAGAACATTCAGACAGTTCAATAGAAACAATATAACTATAATCCTGTCATATTTTGAAAACTTAAGGGGAAATGTAACGATGTCACTCACCTCTTTGATTATATGTTTTCAGTCTAACAAAAGTTCAAACTCTTGTTCAACTTTGAAAAAATAATGTTATGAAGGAAAATTAGTCAGTAAAGATAACTATATGAATTTGCAAATTTCTTTTTACAGCGAACAGAGTGATTTGAATGATGAACATGACTTTATGGTATTTCATAAATACTCAGATGAATGTACATTTGGATTGATTGGGGCTGTTTGTAAGGTATCAGGTATGTTTATCTATAAATTAATTATGATATATTTCATGAGAAATCAAAGACGTGAAAGCTACACAGCATTAAAAATTTAGACATACTCATTCGGATTTTTTAACTGTTGGTAGTTATTCATTTCAGTGTAGTGTTATAGTGTAGAATGTATTGTTTTGGGTCTTGATTTGTCAGGGAAAATTTCAGGATTCATTGTATATTATTGTATTTTGTATTGCATCTGTTAAAACCAGAACTTGTGAATTGTGTATAATTTCATCTGTTTGAGTGTATTATTCTGCGTTGTGTTTCTGATGAACATAGATTTCTAGATTGCTGAATACTAACAAAAAAAACAATTTTAATCTAGCCACCTGCTCATTACATTTAACCCCTGTCACTGGTCACCGTTGTCTCTTCTTTATTGATCAAATGTTCATTTGTGCAAGTTTAGTTGTTTTTGTTTTCTTTTTAGGAGACAATAGTTCGTTATATGGCGGAAGGCATCATTAATTGAAGGTTGTTTGGCAATCCTTATTATTGTTTCTGTTACTGTCTAATTTATATGTACTGTAAACATCTGTATCTTATTATGAATGCGGAGATTAATTGGATGATGGAGACCTCGAGAAAACATGTGCCCAACTTAATCAGTTGTCCCTTTTTTATATTGACAAAATGTTGTATTAATTTCGTTTCATTTGTATGGTCCTGTGCATACATGCTATAATAAGAAAAACGTAATATGGAATAAAGTTGGTACAACCTTACTTTTTTTAGTGCAAAGTTTTACTTGGATTTTGTGTATTTTATTGATCAATGGACGAATTCAGTTTTATTTCAATTTTCATCCTGTCATTGGATAAGGGTCAACACAACACATTATTTCACCGGAGGTATTTCATCCGATTATACATACATATTTTAATATTGTACCAAACATTTATTTTGATTTCTTTGTAAATTAAAAACGCAAGATTGGTCGATAAGTTTACTGGTATTACTTTGTAAAATGTCGAACATATCCGATAAATAAAAAAAATATTGCATCTTGACCGATAAAGCATTCTATTTTTTCTCCTTAAAATTTTGTACGCAATAGAGAGGATCCAAATAAGCAAACTAAAGATAAAACAAGTTGACGGAAATGGACATTGCATCCGTACTGCAAGCATCATGGCTACAGTAATTGGACGAAGTATAATCAATGTTGCTAAAATATTTAATACTACATTATTACTCGCAAGCTCGTTCATTTTGATATACTGCTCGGGACAAATTTCCTCAATATAAGTACAATAAACTTATAATTATATAAAAGCTGTAAATAATATTTTGCACAGAATATAATAAAAACTTTTTTAAAAATTGACCTGGAAAATGGAAACCTCTTTTGTATGAAGTAACATTTGTGTCAAGGATATATACTTTTACGATTTGTCACGCGTTTAATCCTCACATCAGAGATCCAAAGGGATTAATAACAGACATGCTAATATTTATTCATACGAAAAACTCATTAGAAAAAGTGAAATCAGAACATTTGATACTTTCTTTGTTATTAGAAAATATAATACGACACATTGTTTAAAGGTTATTGAAATGAATTTCATGATTTCCTTTGTTTTTACTAGTATTTACATACATGTACAAGTCTGTATATGACATGTTCATTTTATGACTAAAGTTCGAAAAGAAGAACAAATTAAGGGAAATGTCTCAAATCATATCCAACTGAGTAAGACATCACGTGACTTTGGTGACGAAGCAAACCGCCATTTTGTGTCATTTTGTCCCATATAAAATGCAAAGGTGCTTCAATAAAGTTCAAATTTCTCATTTATCTGACCCGTTTTCTAACTTTTGCAGCTATATTCTTGGTATTCGAACATATTTCTACCTAAAAATGTTGGTCCTGGTAGTTAAATTTTTGATCAAATTACGAACCTGGAGATTTGTAAAAATCGTACTTTTTCTCGTCATTTCCCCGTTGACTCAATGGTAAATCTAGCGACCCCATGTCTATTTGTACATCAAATTCAAAATTCCGTAGATAAAAGTAATACTTTGCAGCTATATTGAAAACATTAACACATATATCTAGCTAAACAGGCTACTTTTAACAGTTTAAATATATGGGAAATTACGTCCCACATCGATTTAAAAAAATTTCGGGATTTTTCAATTGGCGGATTTGTTTGGAAGTGTCGCATGTATTTTATACATCTTGTATTTTTCATGCAGAATTTGTGCTGTTTCTGTTATTTTATTCGTTGATATTCTGATATGTTTGATTTCTAAATTTCTTGATATAAGTTATTTCAAGTGTGAAGTGAAAAAAAAGTTACCACTGAAATTTAAAAAGAAAAAAATTTTTCATTTTTTTAAATATTTTTTCCCTTTTTATGTATAATTTATCTTTATAAAAAAAGATAATATATTCTTTTTAGAAAAAAAATATTTTCGTCTCGAGAGAGAAATAAACCATGCACAACAATAGATCAATGCTATGTACCTATAAAAGTTAATGTCCCTTTAAAGTTTCTATGACCAATATGAGCAATAAACGAACAGGTTAACTCAGATTTAAGTTATAATGTTACATAACAACAAATTGTCAGGTGATGTAAAGGAATCGTTTCAAACAAAATACCATCAGGTGACATTAACATCCTGTCTATACACAAGTTTTCTAGAATGTAAAAAAAAGATAATTCTCTTTCCCGTGTACACTACCGAAGAAATATATATCATAAAGAACTTTAAGAAAATATAAATATTATGAAAAATTCTTCGATAAGTTGATTTTTCTTTAAAAAAAACAAATATTAATGTTTCACGATAATTGTTTGAAAAAAAATACTGTATTTCAAATTTTATATTTAAATTTTTTTTTATTTCATAGAAAATTAAACGATACTTCATTGCATATGATTTTTGTCATTTTTTTTTTTAATTCAATATTTTAAGCAAAATCCAGGCATTAAAAAATCAATATTGAAATTTTATTTATGTTATTGCATACATTTAACATTGCAAACCCGCCAATATTCATCGACAGAGTTATCTGTCCTGAATAGAACTGATATACATTTTTTAGTTAGGTATGTTATATTTTGCACGAATCCAGGATAGTTCATTCCTTCCGGAGCACCTACAAAATGCATCTGCGGAAGCTTTATTTTCAGTGTTGTTTGGTGGGATATTTAAAATATATATATGAAAGTGTCAAATACATAATTGCAAAAACATTCAATTTAGGAAAAAAAAACCAATAACTTCATTATCGTGCGTGCAAAACCTTTGGACTGATCTCCATTCAGTATGTTATTGGTCAAAACTTTAGACATCGTAAACTAAAAGGTTTGACAGCACAAAACACAAAAGGGCATAAAGAAAACAGCAAAAACATTTTACGGTCAACGTTATCTTAGGGAAGTGGTAAGAAGAAGACATAAAAGACATACTATATTCTTTTCAAGTGAATATTCTAGAGTCTGAAAGTCCAACAGGATAAGGTGAAATAAAAACGTATGATACCAAATTCCGTATGCGCAAGATTCCGATACCTACGAAAACAAAATTTAGAAAGACAAAGAACAAATAAATTTAAAAGGGTTAAAACAAAAAACCGTAGTTGTCATAATGTCATTTAGGCCTTAGGGTGTTCCAACCTTAGTTTGTAGTACAATTACATAATTTTGAATTAGATTCTTACAAATGAAATGTACCGTTTAAATCATGTTTATACCGAGTTTTGTACATGTATGTGGAGTTCCGAAAAACAATACATATCGAATCTATATTGAGTGTGTGTACGAAAATTTATTAAAATGAAATAATGTAAATTGATGTAGAACAATTATGTGAACAATCGCTATGTTATTTTAAGACGCCTGTCAAATCAAAATGGTCTTTTTTGGAGATAAGTTATAAATAAATCAAGTATGTATGACGTTTATTTCCAACGAACACAAATTGGATATATTCTAGAAATATGGAATCGTTAAAATTATGTAAGAGATATGCATGTTAAAGTGTATTAAAAAAAAATAATGCAAATCAATGTATTAACGCGTGTTTCAACAATTGTTAAAAATGAACGCCAGTCAACTATCTATATCATACACTGCAAACGAAATGATTTGATTTAGAAATAAGGTATAATCTAGAACAAAAAATAAAATCAATGATCATATAATTATATTGGATGATATTCAAATGTTAACACATCATAAATGTAGCTTGCAACATATTTTAAATATAAGTATACATCAAAATAATCCAAACACAAATGGCGGTTCATCCTTTTGATAATAGGTGAATGTTAGTAAATAGATAATCAACCGTTTCCTTTTTCTTTTCCTTTTCCATTCAACAAAGTTAGTAAAGGGGCATTCAAAATCATAAACTGTGCAGACTAGGCAATACAAAAAAAAAGACGAATGCACAAGTTTACAAGAACACGGAAAAGTAAAGATTGAGCAACACGAACCCAAATAAAAACGGGGATGACATAAGCTCAATTAGCTGGGGAAGAAGTTTGTTTTCACTAGCGGCACTCGTCGTATTGATCACGACAAGTATCCGGCGATTAGTCTAATGTGTTGATAGGCAATAACAAGGAAAGGAGACCACCATTCTTGCTTTAACAATTGAAAACTATCCGTGTCAATCTGTCAATCACAATAATAACATATAAAACCAAACCAATTAATGATTATGTTTTTGTTCAATAATGGTCTACCTTTAGTTGGCTTCATTTGGTTATAATATGCTGTGGCTGACCTGCGTAACAGGTGTCCTCTTTTGTCGTAAATAAAAATGATTAATTAAAACATCGTAGAATAATCTTTTGTCCTCCAAACCCCAAAAATTAAACACTTGCTTTCTTGCTATCTTAATTTCCAAAATGTCGTGTGTTCTATTCTACATTCTTAATTTCCCTCGCTAAACAGTGACCCCAAACTTATTTGTAGACTAGGTCTACCAAATTTCTATTTTTCAACTTAACATAAATCTTTAGAAAAAACATGAACTAGTTTCAGGACTTGAAATAAAATCTTTGTGTAATTTTACCAATAATGTACGATTCCGCTCTTTTCCTTTTACTCTCTATATTTTTTGCATATGGAAAATTTACAAGTAAATTATTCAAACACTAAAATTCAGAGAAAACAAAATATGAAAATCATTGATCAGTTATGTGGTCCTTTAAATTACTGTCAGATATTTGGTTCTTATGGCATGATTCTAATATTTTCTATAGCATTACATGCCATGTAGCTGTAAGAATCCTTGAGCCACTAAGGAAAGAAAAAACAGGTTTGTTCATTTCAATGTGCCATTTATAGATAAAAGCTTTTAAGTAAGTTTTTTCTATAAGCATGTTTATGACGTAATTCAAGCTGGTAATGTAATATCATGATGTTAATGTGTCATGCTTTATGTTTCAAAATAAGAAATAAAATTATGTTAAAGCCTTTTTTGTTCATAAATAAATGACTTATGTCGATTATATGAAAAAAAAATTCCTTATTGCCTTCCTGTAGAACATTTAATGCTCTGGTCATATGTATTTTTTATGGTGCCCACTTGTCAAAAGAACACCAGTTTCCGTTCTTAAAAGAAATGTGTAGTCCAAAGTACTTATAATGAAAATGAACTTTTTTTTATAATTTACCAGTCAAAATCCAACAATTCAATATTCGAGTACCGGTTTATATTAAAGTAGATCGACATATTCAAATCTCGTTAACCGGTTTGGAAGAGACAAATCAAGGTTTTTAACAGAAACTTGAGGAATCTCATGAACTCCAAAAGGAGTGACACCGAGTACGTCGACAGAGTAAGCGTATCCAGCTATCCATACGTCAACCACCATGCGAATTGAAACTTAGTAAAAATATCACAATCGGGAATAGGACACAATCGGTGAAATAGCAGATCAGACAACTATTCTATTCTATAACAGCACTGTCACAAACTCTATAATATAACAGCACTGTCACAAACTCTATGCAATCAGTAAATTGTATTGTCAATGACTTCACCATTTACTGCTTTAAAACGTTAAACATATTCGAGGCATTGACCTCAAATAGGTTCTTGCATTTTTCCAAGTTAGTTATGGTCTAATATCATAGATATATAGGATCTTGCTGACGTAATCTTACAGCATGTAGAAGTTGATCCCACAAGTGCTCGCTCATATTTGTATAAGACCAAAATCTGGCCAGAAAAATGTTTGAATGCAGTGACTTTCGCACAATGTAGATATGATAAAGGAGTCTGTTTACTTGTATTATTTGGTTGTTTAAGGCCATGAAAAGGAACAACGATACATCTTCTTTCGTTGTTGTCAATATAGTGGTCTTCTATGCGACTGTCATACAAGTGAGGGGTTTAGCTAGCTATAAAAACATAATTTTCTACATGAGGAAATGCCTGTACTAAGTCAGGAATATGACAGTTGTTTTTCCCTTCGTTTGATGTGTTTGAGGTTTTGATTTTGCCATTTGATAAAGAACTTTCCGTTTTGAATTATCCTTGGAGTTCCGTTTTTTGTTATTTTACTTATTTCGTACAACTTCATCTTTTTGGAAATTCTGAAAAATACCGTTAGATCTCATCATGCAATATCAGACCCTAGAGGAAACCACATAAACGTGATTGAGTTTGGTTGATTTATGCAGCGGCTGTTCTTTATTGTATAAACTTACCATCAGAAGTGTAAATTTTTTACTTTGAGTAATAAACATCGTATTTTGGAACGCAAAATTTGGATAAACAAAACACTATCAAATCGTCTATCAATATTGTCTTTGCATGTTCACTACAACAGGGACATAATATATATGAGACAGGAATGTGTTATACATAGGCGCAGATATTGTTAGAAACGGGAAAAACTAAAAGGGATTTTTTGTTCTGTTTATATTGCTACGAAGTCTAGTTATGGAAGAATCATATTAATGAAAAGATTGTAATGAAAATAGAGACTTTGAATTATCTTGTCTGCATATCATTCTTTTAAAAAAAATTCCTTTTAATAGTTTATCATCCACCATTTTCTACATAAGGAAATGCCTGTACCAAGATAGGAATATAACAGTTGTTTTCCATTCGTTTGATGTGATTGAGCTTTTGAATTTGCCATTTGATAAGGGACTTTTTTCTTGGAGTTCGGTATTTTGTTATTTTATTTTTTATCCAGAAATTAATGTCACAAATAATAATGCAAATATGCCATGTGTTTTTTTCATTTTCTAAGTTAGAATAAAGAATTTACAATATTTGAAGCTGTAACAGTTATTTATAATCATACCATACACAGTATATTTCGTGAAAGTAATCAAATGTTAAGCTTATCATTGTGTCAGATTGGGGATTATTTAAAGCTAGAATAAATAAGGAATTCATAATAAGTAAACATTATTAATGCGATCGATGTCGTTAGGCAGTGTGTACTTCTTCCTTGAAATGGTAGAGTTGGGCTTTGATTTGTCTTATAATATTTTGATTTCCTGTGTCCTTTCAATGAACTTGTCTTTTAAATTGAGATTCCGTTTCTTGAAATTCAGACAAAAATTCATGTAATTACTATGTTAGGTTTTAATTAAAAACAGTTGTTTATCGTGAACACATTTCTGTTAATGTTTACTCTCATAATATCGTTTGAGGATGTACAAACATCGATAAACTCTCCAAAATTCCCAATAAAACCTGTTTTTTAATCTTCACTCGGAACAAACACGAGGATATTAATGGAAATAATACTCGCTAGACAATTTACAATGATAAGTCTTTAAGGCAATAATATAGCGTTAAGTTTTATTTAAACACTTGCATAAGTTCATAAAATTGAAAAATGCTATGTAAGTTATTGACTTATATCATAACTATTAGGATGTGGCTGATGTATTAGACGAAAATTTGGCCAGGAAAATGTTTGAAAACTGTGGCGTTCGCACAATGAAGTTGTGATAAAGGAGTATATGCACTGGTATTATTTTGTTGTTTAAGGTCAAGAACAGGAACAACGATACATATTATTTCGTACAACTTCATCAATATAACAATGATACATAAAAGCTAAACTTTATCATCGACAACATTTATTGAGTTATGTGGATTGATATTTGAACAGACAGTCGGTATTTCAATGGGTACAAATTGTCCCCCTACTGGCCAACTAGTGTTTTACTCTTATAAGGAAGAAATTATAAATAACCTTCTCAAAATAAGAAAGAATAAGCATCTTACAACAAAGTCATACAAGTGAGAGGTTTAGCGCTACAAAACCAGGTTCAATCCACCATTTTCTACATAAGAAAATGCCTGTACAAAGTCAGGAATATGACAGTTGTTGTCCATTTGTTTGATGTGTTTGTGCTTTTGATTTTGCCATTTGATTAGGGGCTTGACGTTTTGAATTTTCTTCGGAGTTCAGTATTTTTGTGATTTACCTTTTTTTCAGATGTATTGGTGATGTCCGATCACTCAATACCCCACAATGGAGTCAAGGCTTGCATCTCATATATCCCAGTAAACTTTATCTTTTCTCAATACTGACACAGTTGGACGACGTCAAACTAGAATATATGACAAACGTGATGATTTCAACTTTCCAATCGTCAAGTTCCAATTTCTCAGCAGTAACAAACCATCCTCGCCATCATCTGCCGTATACGTATCTCAAGTAATACGTTACGAACGTTTATTCTATTATATTTAACAGGGGTTTGCTCCTGAAACAAAAACTACTCTAAAACAGTTATGAGGAAAACGACTGAAATCGACACTACATAAGTTTAAGTTTAAGAGTCACTATCACAAAGATTGGTTGACCGATACAGTGTGCCTGTCTCTAAACTCACCAGCGAAATTTTTGTTGCAGTCTTAGATCATTTGAAACCAGAATGGTCATCAGATCTGTAAAATTATCAACCGTGTCCTTTTCACCGATTGTAAAATTTAAACAGAGTGAGAATTCGCATGGCGGGTGATACATGCATAGTAGTAACAACATTACGGTACCAATGTTATTGCACCAGATGCAGAAGACGCTGGCCTTGCAACGCATCGTGTTTCGCTCCTTTTGGGGTTCTTGCGATTCCCGCAGTTTTTGATTTTTTACCTGGATTTATATCTTCCTTATAAATGTATGAGATTTAAACATCGGAAAACTTCATTTTCCTCTAATTTATTGCTGGGTTCGACGTTCTATTATTATTATTTTCAGGTTTGCCTTTAGCTGATGTGTTAGAGGTATTCGGGGAATATTTCCTTACGTACTGTATGCGACATGGGTATGATAAAATGCTGAGGACACTTGGAGGAGATTTCATATCATTCGTTCAAAATCTGGACTCACTTCATGCATTGTTGTCTATGACTTACAAAAATATATCAGCACCATCTTTCAGGTTAGTTTATTTTCTTAAAGGGGCATTAGCTACGAGATTTAAAAAAAATCAAAATATCACTTGCAAGTGAATAATTCGACCTCATTGAATCCGTATTCATGTGACCTTCAATTTAACCCCTCAGCTAGAGATGGGTTACGCATGAATTAGGCGTGTTCAGTTATTAAAAGGAAAAGAATGTCAACATTAAAAGTGAAACAAGGGTTAGCCATTTGATTGACTGATTCGATCGACAAAAACTCATTCTTATACGGGTAAAAACGATGATTAACATATATCTTAACCTATAATATGAAATCAAACAGACCTAGAAAAATCCAATTGCACGAGTTTGCTATATATTTATATCTATATTTATGTTTATATCGGGTTATATGACCGTCGGCTGTCTTCGGAGGAGGTCACCGTGATGGTTAATTGGATGGCGTCTAGACTAAAATACACACGAAATGCTGATACATATTATCGAGCCCATGCATTGTAAATTGTTTATTTCAGACTTTTTATAATTAAGATATACGTTTTAGTATGTTATAAATCAAATATGAGAATTTGAGTCAAATCGGTGAACATGAAACAGCTAATGCTCCTTCAACTATCTAAATTTTTATTCTAAATCAATTTTAGTGATATTTTGAGTATGTCAGCTGGAAAACAAAAAATATAAATGAAAGTTTATACCATTATTTACGAAGAAATGGAGCTACAACAAAAGAAGATGAACTTTAACGATCATAAACATAGTGGCGGGTAGATGTCTCATTGGCGACCATCCAAATCTCCTTATTTTTATTTTTTTTTCATATTTCTCCATTGATATGACATGATAAGTGACGTTAAAACGATTGCATATATAATTGTAGTGTTAGAATAGCGTGACCCAACTGTAAACATGGGAAAAAAGTATTGTTGATTGTACTTGACATTATTTAAACTACTTTTTAAGGTGTGAAAGAGAAACTGATGGTTCTGTTACGCTTCACTACTACACGATAAGGCCAGGACTATATCCTATTGTCTTAGGTAAGTTATTTTAACACTACACATTCAGATCCGGGTCATTGTAGTACTGTATAGTATCATTATCATATGTAAGTTACTCCAATATTGCAGAATAAATCTATGTTCCTATTACACAATCCGACCAAGTCCGTCTCCTATTTTTAGCGTCGTTCATTAAACCATCCCACAAGGAATATAGCCTACTTTACTAAAATAATACACTTTACTACCTAGTCCGAGATTGATCTGGCATACTGTTTAGGGAAGAACTGGTTCCATTCCATTTTCACTGACGTACTTTTGCATTCATTAAGATATTGGGATCATTTCCTCATATAAAATAGAACCAAATGATCTAATCTATGCAAAACAGATTAACATGCAATATGATTAATTAAATTTGCATACTACTGAAACCATGGATAATGAGGCAAAACATGTCAATATATGCCAGTCATCGGGTCATATGCATACACTTAATCAAATTCGATCACAATTCTATGTGCAGTGGATTAAAACACACAGTCAAGTGAAAGCCTTTGTTCAATGTTTATGGATGAACATGTAGCCAATAAAGGTGGAATGAGAGAAATAAAGCTTTTATTTGTTCTAAACACTACCACACAAACTGACATTATCAAGATGCTTGATTTCTTGATTGACAACAAATTTGTTACGTTTGGAAGACGTGTTTTTCAACAGACTGTTGGAATTCCAATGGGAACCAATTGTGCCCCTCTTCTTGCCGACTTGTTTCTTTATTATTATGAGGCTGATTTCATACAGGAACTTCTTAGGAAGAAAGATAAGAAGTTAGCAATATCCTTTAACTTTACGTTCCGCTATATAGATGATGTTCTCTCACTAAATAATACAAAATTTGGTGACTATGTTGAACGCATCTATCCCATCGAACTAGAGATAAAGGATACTACAGATACAGTTAAGTCTGTCTCATATCTTGACTTACATCTAGAAATTGACAATGAGGGTCGGTTGAAAACAAAACTTTACGACAAAAGAGATGATTTCATCTTCCCAATTGTGAACTTTCCATTTCCATGTAGCAACATTCCAGCAGCGCCTGCATACGGAGTATATATCTCCCAATAGATACGATATTCACGGGCTTGTATTTCCTATCATGATTTCCTTGATAGAGGATTGCTGCACACAAGGAAGCTATAAAACCAAGAGTTCCAAATGGTGAAGTTGAAATCATCCCTTCGTAAATTTTACGGACGTCATCACGAGTTGGTTGACCGTTATGGAATAACCGTTTCACAGATGATATCGGATATGTTCCTTATGTTGTAACTACAATACCCTTCCCTTTTCACGAATGTGACCTACCGAATTAGACTATTTACCGGATTTGTAATAACATAAGCAACACGACAGGTGCCACATGTGGAGCAGGATCTGCTTACCCTTCCGGAGTACCTGAGATCACCCCCAGTTTTTGGTGGGGTTCGTGTTGCTTAGTCTTTAGTTTTCTATGTTGTGTCATGTGTACTATTATTTGTCTGTTTGTCTTTTTATTTTTGGCTATGGCGTTGTCAGTTTGTTTTCGATCTATGAGTTTGACTGTCCCTCTGGTATCTTTCGTCCCTCTTTTAGCACTGGGAGCTTAGTAAGAAACAATCAATTAAGGTAGTACAATACAAAGATTGTTTGAGCCCCAATCAGACAACTTTAAACTGATGTAATTTCTTTCCTCTAGCTCTAAAGTTCATAAATGAGGAACCAAAAGAAAGAAGAAAGATTAATCTTTTAAATGGGGATAATTTAATTATTACATAACTATAACATAATTGATTATTATGTAATTAGTTGCTAGATTCTGATGTCCACATTTGAATGAAATTAGCTTCTTTGTTATTCATAGCATCCCAAAATTTTTGTTTTGATAGATTCTTGTGTAACACAGTTTGACCTCCAAAACCGTGTCCCAGATTTTTCCTATTGTATTTCATTCTCTCATAACCCTTCAATTAATTTTGCAACCTTATTTCATAAGAAATCACTCAATTTAATTGGGTATAAAATTTGTTCTAGTGATGTTTTGGGGAATCTAAGACACGGTTTTGAAGATAACTGGTCAAGAAACAACATGTGGTAAAATCAGACATATAGGGACAGCCGTCTAGGAGTTAATTTCAATTAAAACTACATTTTCATGACAAAAATGTATGTTTCACAATTGAAGAAATAAGGATTTTCCTATTTAAACCTCATTAACTTCAATATCATCCACATATCTACCATGGGGATACTTCAGGATTGGACTTTAATCATAAATCAATTAGGGTTTGACCAGTAAGAAAGTATTCAATTTCAGCAATTCTAAATATATAAAAAAAAATGCACATCCTATGCATCAAAAACCAGATCTGGCGGGAGAAGTTATATCATTATTGACCTTGCTGTAAGACAGTTGCTACTGATATGGTCAAAACTCCGCCCACCTTGATAAACATCAACCATTGATGATCTCAAAAGTTTAATTACACATTGCATTTGTTTTTTTTCAATATGGATTTTTTATTCAATTAGTACATGTAACAATATATTTTTGTTTTTAACACTTTCCCAAAACGTAAGTTATGCATGTGTACATAAAATCATCAGTTGGTTATTTAAGATGATTCCTAAGGGGGATTTCTAGAATTATAATTGTATACAATAAAAATATGTAGTTTTGCACAAAGTAGAAGTTTCTTTCTTTTTTTTTTTTGGTAGTTTTGAAAACGAAATATTTAATTTGTGTTTACTTTTATAAGAATTCATATTTATACATTCTCCTCAAGAAAATCTGAAATAACCATCAGCATTAACATTAGCAACATTCATTGTTGTACAATTATAATTGTTTAATATTTGTACATTTATATTTGATTCCCTCTATAGCTCCAAATTATATTTTTTTTTTCTGCTGGCAGCTCCAATATAGAAATGTATTTTTATTTGAATTTCTTTATCTACTTTTTTCTATAAACCCCGAATTCAACCTCTTTTCTATGACTGTTATTTTTATAGCTGGTCAGTGGTCATAAAACTATCAAATGATTCTATTGATTAACCACTAAGTACTGCCCACATGTTCTTATTTGTATCAGACACGTGCATTTGTTTATAAAACTAATTATCATCAAAACTCATTAATAGTGCAAGATATGGAAACTTATTTTTCTTCTGAGGTTTTGTAATATTAAAAAGTAACAAAAACATCTGAAAATGAAATTTTGATAAAATGTAGTTGCTTTTGTATTGTGCTACCTTAATCACAATGATACAATCAGTACATGTCTATTCCCTTTATAATGGGTACACGTTGATTATACAATCACATTTCATTTCATTTTAGTCGCATTAGAGTAAGCAATAACTATAAGTCCCACTTTTCGTTTCTCTTGAAATTATTTGTTTTGCTTAAAACTTTGCTTTAAATGTTAATTAGTTTGAGAAAGCTTTAGTTATCAAAAGTTAAATCAGAATCTGAAATAAAAAAGGATGAAGACGAACCAAAGATTCGAAAAACCCAACTTAGTAATGATAAAATAAAATAGAAAACCAGTAGGCAACATGATTAAATCGGCGTTTCTTTCGTCTGATTAAACAAAAATACAGCGACATTAAAAAAAAATTATGTGTGATACTTACACATTAACATTGAAACTGTGCGACCATATTTTTACCTAAGTATTATTGTTCTTAGCCTAATAATCATAATCTTGTATATATACTTCAAGCGTGTAGTAAGTCTGTCATTATCAAATTGTGTAATTATATAAAAACTGCATAGAATAAAAGATCTCATATAGTTTCAAGAATGTACATTGTCAAAGTATTTTACTTTTTGTTCTCTGATGTGTATCCATGTTTTATGTTGTGTGTGTAATATATAATGTTCATTTTGCAATAGCATGTTTCTGCTTTCGCAATAAGATTTAGAAACACACCATTTTTTTCTGAAAATTACCTTAAGATCTCATCATGCTATATCAGACCCTAGAGGAAACCATATAAACGAAAGAATCTTTTTTCTTAAAAGATTGTAATAAAATCTTTAAGGTAGATGGGGTGTCTAAATTACAATCCATAGAATTTTTTAATAATTTGCCAAAATGTAGTTTATATCATGCTTTTTTAAAAAAAATAATAAAAAGAATGGGTCACGGGGCTTATTTTCACGCTACAGGTTGTGCAAAATTGACAGATTTTGTATAGATTATGCATGGAAAACCCAATTTTCTGCCATAAAACGAAAACTACACCATAGAATTTTGAGATAAAATATGAGAAGATAGCTCAAATATTATGCTTTAAGATAAGAAAAAGAAAAAATGGGGTCACCGGACCCGTTTTCATGCTACATAATAAAATAGGGAAATTCCTAACACATTCTATTGTAAAAATAACTTTATCTGAATTATCTGCCCTTACATTTGAGTTGCCTCCCCTTATGTGGCAAAGTTGGAAAAAATTGAATAAAACAAAAGTTTTCTGTTTTTTTGTAAAATACAACCATAAATATGATAAAACATGTCATTTTCTGTATTGAAATGAAAATTCTTACACATGAATTACCTACTACTCTCAAAATTTGCACATTTTCTTAATGATTTAGACCGATTGTTTTATGGTATTTCAAAATCCAAGATGGAGGAAGACACCCTATCTACCTTAAATGGTTTTACACTAGTAATTTTTGGGACTCTTTATAGCTTGCTGTTCGGTGTGAGCAAAGGCTCCGTGTTGAAGACTGTACTTTGACCTATAATGGTTTACTTTTATAAATTTTGACTTGGATGGTGAGTTGTCTCATTGGCACTCATACCACATCTTCTTATATCTCTTTAAGTTATCTTGTCTGCATTTCATTCTTTAAAAAAATTATCAATCAGTTTTATAGTGTATCAAGAGATTGATGTCCCAATTAATAATGCAAAATTGCCATGTTTTGTTTCTTCTTCCAATTTACAATATCGACTTTACAATATTTGAAGCTTTACCAGTTGATTATAGTCATGCCATAAACGATATATTTTGTGCATGTAATCAAATGTTAAGCTTTGTAATATGCGAGATTGGGGATTATATAAAGCTAGAAAAAATAACGAATTTATGTAAGTTGACATGATTAATGCGATCGATGTCATTAGGCTGTGTGGACTCCTTCCTTGAAATGGTACAGTTGGACTCTGATTAGTCTCAGAATATTTTTATGTCCTTTCCATGAACTTATCTTTTAAATTAAGATACTGTTTCTAGAAATTGAAAATAAATACGTTAAATTATGCTTTAAGGTTTTCATTGAAACAGTTCGTTTATAGTGTGAACACATTTCTGTAAATATTTACTCTCATTATATTTTCTGAGAACGTACATGCATCGATAAAACATTCCAAAATTCCCAATAAAACCTTTTTTCTAATCTTAATTCGAAACAGACACGAGGATATTAATAGAAATTATACTCGCTAGACATTTTACAATGATAAGTGTTTAAGGCATGCATATAGCGTTAAATTTCATTTAAACACGTGCATATGTTCATACTATAAATTTTCACTTCTTCGTACTATGAACATCAAAATTATTTATTTCGTTAAAATATTTCCTTTCTCTATTTGAACTATACACGTATACCTAACAACAAAATTATTTTCATTTACCCTTGTTGAAAGTAATTGCAAATGGCTGTTATTTTTGTTCAAGCATATTGTTTTGTTGATGTGGTTCATAAGTGTTTTCGTTTCTCGTTTTTTTATATAGATTAGACCGTTGGTTTTCCTGTTTGAATGGTTTTACACTATCTGTTGGGGCCCTTTATAGCTTGCTGTTCGATGTGAGCCAATGCTCCGTGTTAAAGACCATACTTTTCCCTATAATGGTTTACTTTTACAAATTTTGACTTGGATGGTGAGTTGTCTCATTGGCACTCATACCACATCTTCTTATATCTATATAACAATGAGAAATGCTATGTTATCCCAAGCTGTCTCAATAGAAACAAAATATGCACTGGGTGATTGCGGTTTGAACTAAATCGACAATAACCAATACGAAACGCAAACATGTGTTTTTAGTAAATCAGCCAATCGTATTCAAATTTGAAAATTATGATTTTTACATTGCATTGATAAATATATGTACGATGTTATGTAAGTTCCACACACATCTGAAAAAACTCTTCTTTTTTTTTTGTTTGCTTTAACGGTCGACTTATACAATGTAATATTAGCATATTATAGGAACATTGTTTATTAATAGAAAAACCAAAGGGTATGGGGTACCCATCCAAGACAAAATCAGTACATGTATCGCAAAAAATTATTAGTATGAGCTTAATTAATGTATATTTCAATTAAATTCTCATTATAGGATTAGTAAAAGCTGTCGCCCGAGATTTGTATCACCAGGCTGCCTCGGTTAAGTTTCTGAGTAAATCACAACATATTATTGAAGGAGGAAAAACTCAAGAACATGTGATATTTAAAGTACAATTAGTGGATGTCAAAGACCAAAAAAAGCAATTATCAGTTCGAAATTTGGAAGTTTTCAAACCAGCAGTTCGGGAAGGATTCCAGATTAGTGCTGATCAATTTTGTCATGCTTTTCCATATCATATCATTTTTAATGAACGTCTAGAAATTCAACAGTGCGGACGAATGATTCAAAGAGTGTTGAACTGTCCAATTTGTGTTGGAATGAAAATGTCAGAATTATTTGACATTATACATCCAATAATGAAGTTCACAATAGAAAATATCCGAACTTTTATAAATTCTGTATTTATGCTAGGAGTGCGTATCCGTAAAAATGGACATAGATTCACATTAAAAGGTAGTAGTTCTAAGGTATATTATATTGTGTTCAAGAATCATGTGTGCTTGGATAACATGTTTCATGTTCTGCATAGGGGGAGTATTTAATTATATCTTAAAAGTATAGGTCAACTGGTATCATTGCTTGTCTTTGAGCAAAAACACTCCTTTTTTTTTAATTGTACACTAAATGTTGTAGAGGCAAATATGGCTTCCGTGCATACTATATATTTGTTCTAAAATAAATTTCACTATGTACTTGGAAATCAAAACAAATAAAAATTTTAGAGTAAAAAACAAAAACGTCCTAGAAGAATAACTTCATCTTGTACGCTGGAGTAACCTTCATCGGATACGCTGGAATGACCTTCGTCAAGTACGCTAGAATCACCTACATTGGGTACGCTAGAATGACTTCTATCGATTACGCTGCATCTATCTCCCTCGGGTACGCTGGAAAAAACCTTCTTTGGATACAAGAGACTAACCTTCATCGGTCATGTTCTTGACAAAACATATAAAACCTTTGAAAGTATAAAAACAAGAGAGCCTAAGAAACAGCAAACAATTGTCTACGGTCAACTCTCCGAGGGTATCAGCGGCTCAGTGGTCGGTGCTTGATTTTATAAAATACCCTTATTAAATTCTTCATTGGAAAATTAAGAATTTTTTAAGAAACTGGGGTTCAAACTCTCTGAGGCAAAATAGACCTTAGAAAAATTTGACTATTTGTTTTTGGTCCCTTATGGTCAGATATATAGCTTAACATAATCTCTGTTTTAATATATCCCTGGCTTTCAATTGTTTAGGTTTAATCGTTCCTGATGAAGGTACATCCAGAAAAGCACTTCGGACTCATGAATTTTATAAAGCGTTGCTTTCATTTAATAAAACTGGGTCGATACAACTGCTTGGAGACTGGAAGTTCCCAAGTGTATTATCAGCTCAGTAGTCATTGCTACAGTACTGACATGATTTTACAGCGTATATATGTTTTTAGATTCGCTGTTAAAATTTAAGAAGTTATTAAGAAACTAGGGTTCCAACTCACTCAAGCAAAGTTGACCTACGATAAATTTAGCTATTCTTTTTCCATTTTTTTTTTGTCATATTGAAGGCCGTACTTTGACCTATAATGGTTTACTTTTACAAATTGTGACTTGGATTGAGAGTTGTCTCATTGGCACTCATACCACATCTTCTTATATCTATATAGCTCTCCACCTGTCTTCTCATTTATATATCCATGGCTTTCAATTCTTTAGGTATGGGCGTTCGTCATGAAGTAAATCCAGAAAGGCACTTCCTCCACACACATTTTATAAGATGATATTTTCATTTACTAGCACTTGGTCGATATCATTATCGGTGGCCTGTTAGTTTCTGGGGTGTGATTAGATCATTAATCAGTGTTTCGGTACTGACATGATTTTAGAACATACATTTTTTTAAATTACATGTAGTGTGTATATTTGACTTCCCTGTTCAACTGTCCTACTCCTGTCATTCATAAGTATTTCACTTTGAAATAAAAAAGTGAAATAACAAAAATACCGAACTCCAAGGAAAATTCAAGACGGAAAGTCCCTTATCAAATGGCAAAATCAAAAACTCAAATGAATGGAAAACAACTGTCATATTCCTGACTTGGTACATTTGTAATTTACGTCACAAAATGCAAGATTAGTCTCTTGTAAAACGAAATTTAGCTGTTAATGAAATTTAAACTTGTATACAGTGTCGTTGTTTTAGCAGTGTCCTTTAAAGCCTGAGTTTTAGACAAGACTAAACAAAATACCCATTTCAATAAAATAAGATATGGTTTATATTCCAATGAAACAGCCCCAAGGATGATAGAAATTAAAAAGAGACGTAGAAGTCAACAAACAGTTTTGACACAGTACACAAGTGACAGAAGTTCCTAAATTGATTAGTCCTAATGTTCAAACTCGTCTGAGATATAGCTGATGTGAAACTTCGACACATTTTTCATTATAACGTCAAAACGAGATGGCTTGCAGTGTTGATTTCTATATTATGTACATTTCAAAGTGGCGTTAGGGAAATACAACTGATGTCTGTTAACTAGTCTAATATATTGTTAATGCTAACCTTTGCACGGATTTACTGACAAAAGTATTGAGCTGAACCAGACTCGAAGGACAATTCCTTAACTTGTTTGCTTCAAAAACATTTTTTTCAATGCAAGTATATTCATGATTAATTTATTCATTTAAGGGCAGATGATATGGTTAGAAGATATAAAACATATGATATTTATCAGTTCTCCGAGAATTTCAAGCCTAACAGAGTTAATGGAAATGAATGTATTCTTGTCGGACATACCTCTTTATGACGTCACACGAGAATTAGTATTGCTGAATCAACAGAGAATTGCAGAAATCGACGTTGCGTAAGTATTTCTATTCAATAATCAAAACATTTAATCCGACCTATAGTTGATTTTGCTGTTGATCAGTAACAAAAGCATGTGATGATTAAATTTGACCACGACGTAAACTGAATCACCAATTTTCTGTCAGAAGATTAAATCAGCAAAACATCCCTGGCACAAACATTTTTTGACACAGGAAAAATTAAGTCGCAGATTGGAAAAGAGACTTGATAGCCATGAGTAATATAAAGTAAAATAACAAAAATACCGAACTCCAAGGAAAATTCAAATCGAAAAGTCCCTTATCAAATGGCAAAATCAGAAGCTCAAACACATCAAACGAATGGAAAACAACTGTCATATTCCTGACTTGGTATAGGCATTTCCATATGTAGAATATGGTGGATTAAACCTAGTTTTATAGCTACCTAAACTCTCGCATTAAAATTCCATTATATTATATTATATGATATCTTCATTTACTATCTAGATTAAAGGTACCATCCACAATAATACCGAAAAGGCTTTTTTTTATGTAAATTTACGAGGAAATTATTTTAAAGATAAAGTATATCTTTCTGATGAGTTTGAAAACAAGCAGTTTTTCGACTTTTTTCTATATGGTAATGTTTTGTTTGGTTAAATCATAAAGAAGTTCTTTTTTTACACTAGAATACAAGATATAATTATTCAATGTACCCACCTTTATATTAAAAAATTCCAAAACACACAAAAAGTCACCTTCCACCACTAACATTTGTACGTAATTTTACCGATCAGAATAAAATTTTTTTACAAATCAAGTTATACTCCCATTTTGAATAGATGTGGTGTTACCCCTTGTCAGACAGCCCAAAAAATTTAAATGTCGCATTCAAACGCTTACAGAAAAGAATAGTTTAGGCTCTTGTACTTCAACACAGATTTTGTCATCTTCGAAAAGAATACAGTGAAAGTCTCTAGTAAAACTTAACAATCTTTAACCGTACATTTAGATGCCAGTCAGAATGCATTAGAGCAATCGAATGCAACTTATAACCATTTAATGACCAATTCGACGAATGTCACTAGTGCATCAAGAACTGTTACTAGTTCATTTTTGGAGATTCTATGTTAAATCCCCTATTTTATGACTCGTCTAAACTAGAGCCTGTTGTTTCTGGCGGCGTCGGTGGCGTCAACAATTGTCAAAGTTTATGTTTAGGTGATTTAAAATATCTACATTGGAAAAATAATGATATCTGGTAGGCAATAGTATTAGCATTGGTAAATCTCATTTCCATGGCGATGATTTTGCCCTGTCCTCTCAGTCATATTTCATTGATATTGAAACATTAGTAAACGTAGTTTGCGTGTTAAAGTTTGCGATATGGTCAGGTTAAGAGGAATTACTAACGGTAGGCCAATGATATTTGGTAGGCAGTTGTATAAGCATTTTGCAAAAGTCATCTTCATGGATATTGGTTTACTCGCCCCCTCAGCGATGATCATTTGAATTTAAAACTTTTGCATAGGTTGTTAAGTTTAAATTTCAACGTTTGCATTATACTACTACAATCTTTGTTATTCAGAACTGACTTAAGAGATATAGACATAGATAAACTTCTGTTACCTTTATAATCACGATTGTTAGAATTCTGTAAAGGCTTAACATATCTCTGTAACAGTTAAATAATGGTGTTCATTTTGTTAATACGTACAGAAATAGCTAAATAATAGAGTTGTGAAGACTGATTACCAAACAAATGACATTTTCATTTATTAATACGAAAATGAGATAAATACATTCAAATTATATTTGTTTGTACATGTATGTTACAATATTTCTGCACTCTTGATAGGTAATTTTATATCTCAACATGCTCGCTAAAGCTTGCCTCCACTTTCTTGAGTAGAGCAATTTCGAAGACTTCTTGCTGCAGAAGTAGGGTATAATTCATATCATGATATCATAAGAATTCATTAACAAGAATATGCCAGTTATTTTTCTATATTCTGTTTTGTTGTTCCGTATTACAGAAATATGCAGATTATCTGGTATGATTAACAATTTTGCAATACTCTAATTCATTTGTCCCGATTGATAAAGTTTTGGTTTTTTTTTCTGCTTCAACTGTCTTTCCAATTTAGAACTAATAAATTGTTGCCGACAATGTTTTATGAGATATCAATGAATGGTTGTCCGGAAATCTATATGATATCATATGAATTCATTATCAATGTCTTTGAGCGTTATCTTGGAAATGTCATTATTTTTCATTGTATTGTTATTGAGGTAAAAGGAATTAACTTTAATCAAAGCGTTATTAAGTGGATAGTAAATAGTCTGTATACTAAGAACATTCAATTCAAAGGAATACAGTCCAATGAAGTATTATACAATATGTGATACGGAAATCGGGGACAGGAAGTCCGCGAGTTGATATTCCTTAACATGTCACCTGACAGCAAAAGGCTGAAGCAACACATACAGATCATTTGTGTTCTTACTTCATCATCCGCACCGTCGTTCGTGTATTCTGCACCATACCTTGTTAATTCATACATCTTGAAAACGGGTTTGCAAAATTCAAACACACTTGCACTTTTTTTTCTACAGGACCTGAAACATGACTTTCTTGTGTTTCAAACACCAAAATGTGGACCCACACGTAACCTTTGGTTGTTGGCAATACTCTTTAAGTGAATAAAGAATTAAATTAAAATTAAATTACTCTTTATTTGTCGTGGAAGACTACACACGTCTTTTCTAAAAAATACACACATTGATAATTTCTGTTAGTTTAATAAACAATTTAAAAGCTAAATTAACCCACGTGTCAAACATTGATCAGTGTTAATTGATTCTGTTGGTTCCATTGTCGAGTTGGTCATTATTGTTACTCCTGTCAGACCATGTAATACAGTAAAATGAAATAGGTTATTTCTAAACCTGATATCCCTAATGTTCATGAAGTCAAACATGTTTATTACTGCATATGAAATGTTTGCCAATCATTATAGCACAAGAATAGGAAATTCTAAAAATGTTTTTTTTTTTTTCGATAATTGTTGATTTTGTATTAATTATACCACAATTATATTTATTTTTTTAAATAATGCGTTGAACATCTCTTTTGAAATCAGAAAATTGATGATGATGATGATGATGATGATGATGATGATGATGATGAATTTCACTGTGAAAAACTAAAGTGTAACATAACATGATCAGATTCCCGATCCGGAAATAAAACGGTTACTTTCTTTGTTTGTAATACAATGGTCAATTATGCATAAAGATTAAGTATAAAAGAGCTGAAGTAGATTTGTATACAACGGTAGTACTTGTTTGAATTATGATGAAAACAACTAAAACATCATTTGTTTCCATACAATACGAAAAAGCTAACAAATTAAATCATGTTTTAATGTATCGTGTGTCTTTTACAATAACAGTAGGTCCGAGGACACAGTTATCGTCCTTTGATTTTCGTTGTCTACAAATATAGTCCCTAGTGTTGACAGTGTTTAACTTTCAAATTTATTTCTTTATATTTTACGCATGAAATATTAAGTAGGGGGATCAAAGTACATATTAAAAAAAATTTTATGTAAAGTAGTGATTTGGTCCAGTTAGAAAAGGTAAAAAATTAGTATGTCTGAAGCTGTCAAACTGCTATTTATAAACCCCCTTAACATAAAATTGTCCATATTTTGAGTTAGAGCTGGTAGACTTTTCTATAATTTTGATATCATTTGTTTTAAACGTAGTACACTACACTGTAGAAATCTTTTTGAGATAGAGCAGGTGCGATTATTTTAATTTTAATTTATTGTCTAAAAGGAATATACGAAATAACTGTGTTCTCGGGCCAGTAGTCCTTTGAAAGTAGGCTTTGATATTTCTCCACTCAAGAAAGTGGGTACAAGCTTTAGCGAGCATGTTGAGATATGATATTACCTATCGGGAGTGCAGACATATTGTAACATACATGTACATATACAAATAGAATCGGAATGCGTTTATTTCATTTGTTTTAAGTCTTTCAAGTATAAAACTCCTGAACGTATAGGACAATAATGTCGGTGTTGCATATGATAATTAACGTGACACCGTCATGACCGTGCCGAATGAGCTAATAATCACGGTATTTGAAATTTCTGGTGTTTTGTTGGATAAGATTAAACTTTGGTCTAAAGTTTTTATGAAATAAAACAGCGAAAATCGTTGGGAGAAATACAATGAAAGAGTTGAGGGGACTTCGGCGTTATTTTATCGAGGAGCTATAATATATTGAAACGCTGCCTCCCTGGTGCTAGAGTCGGCCACCAGAGAACACAGGGTCACAAAGAAAAAGAGAGTAAAAGGTTCTATAAAGTGTAAGGTTCGACGTCCACTGTTTACCGTCGGACCAAAACACGTTACAGAAAGGGAAATCGTATATTTGTAGTTATATATATATTCTCAGTTGTTAAATAAAATATCTGAATAAAATAAAGTTTCATATTTTATTAATATCAAAAATAATCCACGACGGAGAGAATAGGTCTGGCAGGCTCTGTCACTGGTCTGTTCGGGTCCCCGGTAATGGTTGGTCTTACAGTATACAAACAAACTTTTGATAATAACCAGCTAATAATATATAATTCAACAGTTAAGTAACCCGGTGGTCCCTTATTTGGACTCTTTCAATAATCCCAATTTAAGGATATTATCACAATTTCACAGTATTCAACATCGACTTATCATCATAAAACATCTAAAACAAATATTAAATACAGAAAGCAACAATTTTACTCCCGTCACTAACAACCTTACTTAGGACTGTCAATAACCACCTTAGCACCGTCCTCCACAACTTCATTTATTGCTATCACTAACAACAATAGCACCCTTACCGACAATATTATTTAGTCTCGTCATTCATAAAATAATTCCTATCGCTATATTGACGCTAACAAACTTAATCACTGTCAATGGCAATATTAATTAACACCACCACCCACAACTTTAGCACCGTCACCGGCAACCTTAGCACCGTCACCGACAACCATAATTATTTAGCACCGTCACCCACAACCTTAGCACCGTCACCGACAACATTAGCACCGTCACCGGCAACCTGATTTTGCACCGGCACCGACAACCTTAAATAAAAACAAAATTAAATATTATTATATACCGTATTTACTAACTTTCAACGCTTGATTATAATTATCAGACATCTCTATTTGAATTTGCCGCTTTCTAACTTTTCCAACCCAACAATCTGTCGGTTCTGTTGTTGCTTTTTTTTTTTTATACTTCCGACTGACCAATGGCAGAGCTTGTTACATATTGTTTACCCATCGGCAACCATGGCTCACACAAGGGAAATTCCCGTAATGTTCAGGGGGTATCATTTGTAAACATGGATTGATCTTCATCAATAAAGATGGGTTTTGATTTTAAATACATTAGTAGATCATTAGAAGAGTTTTATTTGAGTTTATATTCTAATAAGGTAACTACCGCGAAAATATGGAATCAGTACGTGAAATAAAACTTCTTAACAAACTAAGTTAAACATACACAAATCTGTCGTATCATTGAAACAACCGCCAAAATAACAAATTATAAGTCTGACATTAATTGCAACATTAGACATCTCACTAACATCTATCATTTATCCTCAATAATTTCCAGAAACTATACAGACATAGATTTACTATAAAAAGGGGGAAAGGCCGGCATTACAATATATGTGTGATTTCTGTCAAGAGTATGTGTTACAGTACTGTATGAAAATAAAGAGATGGGTTATGATTGCCAATGAGACAACTATTCACCAGAATTAAAATGACGTTGATATAAGCAATTATGTGTCTGTCATTGTACGACCTTCAACAATGAGGAAAAAAACCTATACCGTTTAGCCAGCTATAAAAAGCCTTGGCATGACAAAATATGGAACAAACTAATGACGTAATTTATAAAAATGCAATTAACGAAAAACAAATATGACAGACATGAACCACCGACAACCATTGAATTACAGGCTCATGACTTAGTATGTATTACAGGCTCCTGACTAAGTATGTAATATATTTTAGTTAATTACCGTGGCCTTTACAACCACCTATTATTTTTCCATTTAAAAGAAGGACATAATTTGCAGCCTATTTTCTTTGGAGCATTCACCACTGGAGAACAGCAATTGCCTTTGATATAAAAAGGATAATGACATACGTCTGTTACTGATATTCATGGCATTAAAGCCGTTAGTGCAAGTATAGTAGGCTGAAAAGTACATGTTTTGTGACCATTTACTACTTTAGGTAGCAATTTATTGCAGTCATATCGAGTTAATATTGTTCTTTTTTTTTAGATAATGACAGATTTTATTTAAAACGATTGCTTTTAAAGGAATTGCTTTAGTAGAATTTCACTAATAGTAAAGTAATTGCATCAGTCTTATGTAATAATGGAGAAAATCTTTCAATAACCTTTCAAATAAAATTGAAATAAACAGTTTTGGGAAAAAACATTGAATCAGATACGGCACCATTTTTTATTCGTTAAAGTGCACTTCTTAAAGAAAATGCACTGATTACTATACCATCATCTTAATGACATGTGTTAGATAGAAATTTGTTTCCATGACATTAATTCTTATAAAATCAAAAAATACATTAAACTATACACCTTCGCCATTAAAGCTCAGTGAGCAATATTACAGTCATAATCCTGAAAAGAATACAAAAATTTAAAAGATGTATTAATCTCTCGGTTGTAAAATTGGAAAAGAGGTGTGCTCCTGAAGACAATTTGATTTAATACTGCAAACTTACGTATTACTTTTGAATTTTGCACCGAAGGGCATCCGTGATAAATGAGAGAATTTATTGAAAAAGGTATGCATGATACTATTCCGGATAGAATTTTGGTTTAGTTATGAATGTTCTTCTTATTCCTTTTCATAATAAATACTCAAATTTGCCACACTAATATCACAATTAAAGAAATCCATATATATCTTGCTACAGGTCTTGATCGTGTGAATACAATGTATAAAATATGGGGTTTCAGCTACTGGTGTTATTTTTTTGGATTGTTTGTAGAGTGCATTATCTTGCACATATAAATGTATGACATAAAAAAAAGAAATGAAAATATTTTACACTTAATAAATTTCGTACGTCCGACGCCTTTCTGGATTTATCTTCATCAGGAATGCTCAAATAAAACCATTGAGAACCTACAAGTACATAGAAACGATTGGAGCTATAAAAATTGAAAAAAAAATGAAAATTTTTGATAAAATCGAAACTAACAAAAATGACCATAATTCTTTTATTTTGAAGAATCTAGCTAAATAACTTGTCAGTTTGTTTTAAATCTATGTATACTTTATAAAAATGCAAAAAAAAACCTCATTTTGACCCTGGTACCTCCATTAGCATGAAAATCTCATGGCTAGTCACATATGAGACCAAGACAGACCTAAAAAATAACCAAATTCATCTATTATGATCAACTTTATCTGAGGATGTTGGAACCTTAGTTTTTAATAATTTCTTAACTTATCAACGAGGAAGTTTTAGAAAAGTAGGTTATAAATAAAGGTAAGGTTTTATTTGAGGAAATGATCATGTAGCCAGCTACTTTATTTCAAATCTTAAGACCAAATTTGTTTGTGTTCGATTTATCTACCTTGAATACCAAAAGAAAACGGTGGGATCCATAAACAAGCGCTAGTTGTATCTTTATCAACAAACCACACATTTTACGTTTTAAAACTTAACCTGTATTACTGATGTTGATTTTGCACAGTTCTATCTTGTTACGTCAACAACAAACATATGCAACCAACTGTCAAATATTGTCTCTTTAAACAAAACAAAAATATTGGATACAAATCAAATACTTACTATTATAATAATGGACAAACTGAAAACATGTGTTCGTTAAGGGAGCTACCATTTGATTTTTATGGGGGGTGCTAGGATGAAATTTGAAAAAAAAGAGGCAGGACAGGAGTTTTGAGTAAAAAAAAAAGGCAGGATAAGATTATTTGAAAAAAAAGGCAGGATGACAATTTATGTAAATAAATAGTCAGGATAAACTAAAAAAAAAAGGCAGGACCGAATAGAGGGAAAAATAAAAAGGCAGGACAAAATTTTTCATCCTAGCCCCCCCCTAAAAATCAAATGGTAGCTCCCTAAAGCCTCGTCACTCTTCCCTTTGATCCATTTCAGCGGTATGCTTCTATAGTTACTAAACGCATATATTTATTTTGTCGATAAATCTAGAAAATATATGCAGTTTCATCAATTCCACAGTACCATTTAAGGTACTGATAATTACAATTATCAGACATCTCGACCTATCGATGAGAATAATTTGAATTCATATGAAATTAGCTGATTTTAATGCGGATAAACTCATGAAGTAACATGTCATTTTTGGAATGGGATTGTCTTACTAATCACACTATAATTTGGAAAACCCAGAAAAAGACAATCTTTACAAAATGATTATGTTCACAAATTGTATAGAAATGTGTTTCTTCGTAATCCTTGTATAAGTTAAATTCTATTATCTTTATTTCTGTCCACTTTCAAAATCACGCGACGGGCTTATATTTATTATTGTTGATTAACAAGAATTATCCTTACTATTTATTCCATAGTGAATACGGATTTTTATGTCAAACGTTTTTCTCGATAATAAAAGTAATCTTCTAAATCCTAGTCATATATAAATACTATTTAAGTTAATGAATGACGACTTTGATTAATAGAAATGGTTGAGTTTTATTAATGAACGTATAAGCTTTTCTCAAAGATAACACAGAAAGTGCAATTTTCTACCATTATTAATGTTGTTTTATGACCTGCTTGTCACGTAATCTGAATAGTATTGCAGGGAAATCTAGATCTCACTTTATTTGTATGGTATAAAGCTTTACATGTACAATTTGACATCATTTCTTTTTTATAGGACAGTTATGTGTCAAATTAAAACGAAAAATCTTATTAGTCAGTTTGGATGTGTCTTCTACATTTGTAAAAAAAAAAATTGTGAAAGGAAAATCGTCAAGTAAATTTGGAGCTTGAAATATGGTATAGACATAAATTATAAAAATACGAAGATGTGATATAATTGCCAATGAGACAACTCTCCACCAGAGACCAATGCCATAGAAGTTCAGTCTTGTTTATGTCTTAAAGAATTGTTTTTGTTGTTAACCATAAGTTCCATCAATTTCACATGTAGAGCTTGACTTTGTTTGTTGTGTATCTGTTTACATCAACAGCAAATTGGTGTAATTGTTACATATAAAGATTATTTTAGTGCTTTATATTGATATTTAGAAAACAACTTGACGAGACTACAGCAAAACTAAAACTGACTTCAAAAGCACTCGAAAACGAACAGAAGAAAACAGAGGAACTACTATCACAAATGTTACCAAAGAAGATTGCAGATGATTTAAAAAATGGTAGACAAGTAAAAGCAGGTACAGCTTGATCTAATAAGTAACATACAACTACCATGAGCAAACTAAATGATACAAAGGTCTATCCAGATTGAGTATATAAGAGTTTTATCGGTCTAGAAATTAGAGTGTTTACAAGATGACTTTGCCATTTCATTTATATCTGAAAACACATACATGTAATATCTACGCATAATTACATTACATGTATGTTTCATTATAATACGTTATTTTGAATGGCTAACAGCAATCTCTCGTCATTTTGAAATTAACCTTCATGATGAAACGAGCTTCCACAATAAAGTGCAGAGGTAGATAAAAGAAAAACTTGATAGAAATCGTGTTTTCATGATCCTAGCAAAAAAATGTAATTATAAGTATCGAATGCTTCTTTTAGTAATTTAATTGGGTTGTAAAAGCGTTGACCGTGCGCACATTTTGAGAATGAAGCGCTTCCGCGTTTCATACAAAATGTACTTCGGTCAACGCTTTTACACCCTTAGGCTATCAAATTTACAAAAAGAAGCATTCAATTCTTAAATAAACACTTAAAATACGATTCGCCATTAGCACATGAAACACCAGGCCACAAATCTGTATATCAGTTGGCATTATAAGTACGACTACCCCGAAAAAAATCACCAAAATTGAAAGGCAACGTGTTTTATTGAAACCTAACATCGTCATTTGAACAGTGGTGGATAGTTGTCTCATTGGTAATTGTACCACATCTACCTATTTCGATATTGTGTAAAATTCGTAAAAGTATACTCTTATTATCTTGAGACATGTGAACAATTGCTGTGTTTCATAACTAGTTTCATAACTGTAGAAAGACTTATCTAACAATCATTAAAATATTAAGGTACTTAGCTTTTCTTTATAAAACAAAAATGTGTGAAAGCATTCTCAAGTTGCCGCGTTTGTGGCGATATGTGCTCGGATAAACTGATAGACAAAGTTTAATGACTTTTGTTATAATATGTCAATTTTCAACGCAACGCACGTTTAAAACAGGTTTAAATTAAGAAAAAAAAGAAGAAAAAGGCTACATGCTCTCCCCCACAAAATCTTATACCTAACGATACTTCTGTACTTGTAAATTATTTTTTCTCTCGTTTAAATGGACAAACAAGGGTCTAAGATTAAAACAATGTGGTTTCTATTGATTACACTTTTTTCTATGCTTTGGATCGATTGCAATTGCATAAGGAACAAATATATTACCTGATATGTTAATGTTTAAAATTGTTTTTCAGAAAAGTTTGAAACTGCCACTATCCTTTTTACTGATATTGTGACGTTTACAAATATTGCATCAGCATGTCCTCCGATGGATATTGTGAATCTTCTAAATGAATTATATAACAGATTTGACCAGAAGACCAATGACTATGAAGTCTACAAGGTAATTGTTTTATTACGACATTGGTCTGTAACACTGATAAAATTTAGTGAGTAACATCTTCTCGACTCATTATGTTTTTGAGTCGGTATTCTTTGAACTGGTCTGTCTTAATCTTATATTCACATGTTTGTCTCGATAAAATTTCATCTGGTTTTATTTTAAGAAATTTCCTGTGTTGTAGAATTTTCAGAACTAATCTTATTGGTTAAAATAAGATAATAGATGTATTTACTGTTTGTAAGATATGTCTTTCGTAACATGTTTTTTTTCAGAAAAAAAAAGACCCATTCAAAATTTTTTATAAGGAATATCCAGTTCGTGGCAATGTTGGTTGACTATCAGTTCCCGATGATACCATTCTCCTAGTAGGCGTGGCATTGGGATTGGCATGAATTAAATAATATTTATATAAGTTGTCCTTAAATTTTCAGTTAATAAAATCATATTGTTATGTTACAACTAAGGCTAAATATAACTTCCACAGCCAAAGTTGACCTCATACAGTTTTTGGTTGCTCCGTTCAGGACATTTTGATCTGATGTTATTTGATGAAGGTTATTCTAGAAACACGTGTTGTGCCCACGGAAAGTAATTATACGTGTTTGTTTGTAAACGCTCATTGTAGGTTGAGACGATTGGTGATGCTTACATGGTGGTAAGTGGTGTTCCTACCAAAACTGACAAACATGCGCAACCAGTTGCAGACTTTGCTATGGAAATAGTGGAGGAAGCATCTAAAGTCCGTTCGCCTATTACTGGGAAGCCAATACAGGTAGTTACATATATCAAATAGTGTGTTGTACAAGTATTTGAAACATTACACGCTTATTTGATTGCCTTTTATGCTTTTTTATTGTTTTATAATATCCTAACTTGTATAAGACCAGACAAAACAAAAAGCTGGGAGCAAATAAATACACTGATGATCTACTACATTATTGATTGTGTTAAGTTAAGTTTGATTAGATGTCTTTGCTCTCAGCTTTTTGTTTTGTCTAGTCTTATAAAAATTATGATATGATAAAACATTAAAAAAGCACAATAGTCTAAACACAAAAATATTTTTAAAACGTTATTAAAATGTTATGTCATGAAAATATCGCCATAAAGGTTTGAAAAATATAAAAGTGTGTGGTGGAAAAATATCGCAAAAACGTTTTCTAATATATTTCCGAAAATATTGCATAACATAATTAAAATATTGTTAAGATATACCACGATAATGTGAAAGTCGATGGCGTATAAAACATTTAGCTAATCTTTGAAATTCCACAAATATTTCTCAAAATATTTTCAAAATGTTCCAAAAACATCATGAACATCAAATAACGCCATAAAAATGTTTTGGATATTTTTTTTATAAGTTCCTGCAAAATGTTTCAAAAAGTTAAAGAAGATGTTTTTGGTTGATATCTATATCATATTCTAATAAAACTTTCTGTACTTTAAATTCAGTTTCCAGCTTTTTAATATATTACACATCATAAGTTCAATAGATACACAGTGATGAATTCTGTATACAAACAAGACTAAATCAGTTGTTTTGCTAAGCATATGACATTTCACAATTCAATGTATCCGTAAACAAGAAGTATATACAGATTTTGACACATCCGAAATTTCAAACACAACTCATCATGGTTAAGCCGCTTACCAAATATGAGTCATTCTGATCAGCGGTATTACATATAGAAGTCATGAAAAATGTGTGTTCATTCAACATGCTGAAATATCAGCAAACAGGTATATGACAGATACTTAAAGTGCTCACACATTACAGTTCATCACTATCTAACAGCTCACAAAATATGAACTCGTCCTGTTCAGAAGTTTTTGGGTAATGAAAATATTTATCGGAACTATCTATTGAGTCAAGCCTTTAGCAACTGATTTTTACAGTTTGTTCTTATGTTGTGCTGTTACACGCCTGTCCTGCTTGAGGGTAGAGTGCTCACAAACGTGTGTTCACCCGCCACATTCTTTATGTCCATGGCTGTCCAAAGTCAGGAGCCTGTAATTCAGAGATCGTCATTGCTTCATGTCTGTCATATGTTTTTTTCATAATGTACATGTATATTTGTTATAAATTAGGCCGTTAGATTTCTTGTTTCATATTTTTTATGCCGAGGCCTTTTATAGCAGGCTATAGGGTATGTTGAAGGCCTTACGGTGACCTATAATTGCTTATATCCACTTCATTTAAACTCTGGTTGATAGATGTCTCATTGGCACTCATATAAAAGCCACATATCCTTATTTTATAACTATCAACAAATTGGTGTACGTAGATACTAGAACAGAGGCAGATTTAATGGCGCTACATACTAGTATATGATAAATACATAGACTTTTTACAAGTATCACTCAAAACGTTGGCTTGCCAGGGGGCCCCTTTTACAAACTTCTGGATCCGTACCTGTAGAAGCAGTTGTATTAGTTCCAATTTCGATTGAATAATAAAAAGAATACATAAGTTTAATTTTAGGAGTTTAATCAGTCTTACCAAGAAACATTATAGAAACAATCCGGATAATGTATTGTTTGTTTTTTTTTCCTTCAAGTTATGGTATTGGTTGTACCTTAGAATCGTCTGTCTCTCTTTTCTAATATCAAAAGTACGACTTTCACTTCAGGAACAAAACAACGCAAATTTTTAGGATTGATTTATCAACAAATGAAGAATAGAAACAGTACAATGGGTTAACCAATATATGTCATAACTTTCACTTTTTAGTAGGAACATGAAATGAATTAACTAAAGCGACCATTTGTTAGTCTTTCATGTTTTATTCTGTCTTTTAATATTTTCTTTAATATTTACTTATTATATTTATTATATTTTCTATGCAGATTAGAGTAGGGATTCACAGTGGTCCTGTAGTAGCTGGGGTGGTTGGTAAGAAGATGCCTCGATACTGTTTGTTTGGAGACACTGTGAACACTGCATCTAGAATGGAAAGCCATGGGGTACCAGGAAGAATTCATATGAGTGGAAGTACCGCCAAGTAATATTTTTTTACGCAATGATCAAAATAACCAAGGAAATGATAGTTTTACACATTAGGAAAAAATCAACCTTATGAAATAAAGCAAATCAAAAGTACATTTATACCCAACATAGATATTGTACATATATAAATGCACTTTAAAGATCAAGTTCGAAAATTGATCATGCGATTCCCAACATAGATATTGTACTTATGTAAATGTACTTTAAAGATGATGTGCAAAAAATATGAATTTTTAAAAGTTACTGGATTTGTTTTTAATACAAGAGGCATATTCATTTCCATTAGAAATGTTCCGTGAATCAGAACCTATCTCTCGTCCTTTTGGAGATAATGCGATTCTTTCGAGTTTTTGTTTGTTAACTTGATATGCATTATTTTTTTCGATTTATGCGATTTTAATATCGGTAAACTATTTTTAGATAAATTCATACTCGAAATGACTTCCATTTTACAAAATCAGGTCAATACATCTATATCTATTGGAAACATACGTAACAGGCTTATGATTTAATTCGCCGAATATTATAAAACAAATGTGGAAAACTAAGTTTGACAAAATAGATTTACAATGACCGACGTACTAAAACAGAGGAAAAGTAAACTACATTCGAGACATTTGACTATTTACACGTATTTGTAATATTTCTATCTGAAATGTGTGAAATGGGACAATTGTCTGACTTCAACTATTTAATTGCAATATAAACGTATAATATCAATTATCTTACCTCCTATATATACATTTCTAGGAAAATGATTTGTTAAAAGCAACCGCGTGGAGACCGTCTATATTCCATATTGGGTTAATAGGGTTCCATATTCGGTTAGTAGGCGGGGCTTATTCCAATACACGGTTAGTAGTGGTGTTACGTCCCTATATAAAAATAACACGGTGTTGAGGAAAAATCTTCACGGTTTCAACGGACGAAGAAATTGATGATGAACGATTGAACTAAATTCATAAAACACATTTAAAGCTGACAAGTTGTTATTGTTGGCATTTGTTTTTGTATATACCAATGGAAGAAGGTTCTTAATACTAACGGTATTGAAGACTTGATCACTTTGATAAGCCACTAGTCTAAATACCACATGTTAAGATAGTCGGTAAGATAAATTCGTTACATAGTGTGCTAGTGACCTAATACGATTTTCATGGGGTCATTAAATTCCATATGGGGATTCGAGCGTCGCTCTCACCCCATATGGAATGTACTGACCCCATATATATCGTATTAGGTCACTAGCAATATATATGGGGTCAGTAAATTCCATATAGGGATTCGAGCTTCACTCTCACCCCATATGGAATTTACTGACCCCATACATATCGTATTAGGTCACTAGCACACTATGTAACTAATAATATTCCGTTCAAATGAATACAAATTTAGATATATATAGATTCACATTGTTTATTTTATTATGAACCGACATCTTGGTCATGTGGTATCTGTTGGATAGTTGTTTCATTGTCAAAAGTTTAAATTGTGTTACTTGGAATCAAAATCATATTTGAACGTATTTCTTTTTCATTTTTTTGCAGAGTTTTAATGAACGACGACAAAAGTGATTATATTCTAAGAGACAGAGGTGTAATTGAAGTGAAAGGAAAAGGCTCTATGAACACGTATATATTGGTTGGAAAAGGGATCAAAACGTTACATGAACCAAATGACAGTTTCAATGACCTTCCAATTGCAATGACCAAATCAAAAACAAATGACAAAAAGCAACCAATCAAAATTACAGATACAAATAGTAATAACACTAAGCAAACGAAATCAAAAATTAGCAAGAGCTCTACTTGTGTTTTATTTTGATATGCATGAATACCTTTTGTAACTTTTATTCTATTAAACACACTCTTTTAAAGATATTTTTTTCATTAATGTATCGTACATACAGAATCAATGTCTAACTAATTACTAGTAGTTAGAGGAATAACATTTAGGAGTTAGTATGATGTGTTATAAATATTCAGTGAGTCACACAAGTATTATAGAGGAATTGTATTTAGATATTGGTATGACGTGTTGTTAATATTGATCTGCAGAGAAAATCATTTAACTGAAACAAAGAAGATTTATAATTTACGCAAAATGATAAAAGATACAACTGATATCAACAAAAATACATACTCGGTTGTACCCGACATAACCGGGAATATTCTTTAAACGAATGAGTTGTACCTTTTGCAAACCCCACTCTTGAACGTCTCGTGGTAGCATGCTCGCAATGGGTTCTAGGTGTCATGAGTTTGATTCACGTCGGGTTCATTCCAAAAACGGTATTTGCTGAGTCTCTACCAATCACGTGGCACCAAGGATTTGCAGCAAAGACAGTTAGACTAGGAGTCATAATAAAATATGTCTTAGTATGGTGATGTCTATATTGTAAATTTGTGAGCTAGCATGTTATCTTATCAGTCTAGTACAGGCCGGATATATTCTTATCTCGTTAACACGTCATTGTTCCGAATACGCTAACTCGAACAATTCAAGCTCGTATCGTCTCCGATTCTCTCCGCCTCCAATGAAGTTGATGGAGTGATCGGAATATAACGACTGGATTATTCGGGTTACGAATACGCATTGGTAGTACTTCATTTGCCACAGCGGCTTAACCCGGGCTAGCCCGGTTGGTACTTCCGGTATAGGCACAGTCGCTTCAATTGCTTTGAAATCAGCCGCCGGCGCATATAGGCAGACGCCGCCCTCGCCGGTCTTAACACACCGGCAAGCAATCAGCCGGTCAAAAA